GATCTTGCATGAAGGGCTTCCTGGCTACTTTCTCAGCTACCGCATTTGGACTAGGCTGGGAAATCCGTCATCTCCTAAGTGCTTTGCACTTCCAAATAAAGTGCTGATCCTGGGGCAATCGTGCTAGGCTCTACCCCTGTGAGATCTCCTCCTGCTGAGCCTGCATGAGCAGCATGGAAAGACTCACCACAGGATCGAAGTTCAACATTGGCGGCTGGTGGTAAAGTACTATGATTTTTTTTTTAATTTGGTCACTGGTTATCATTAAAAATAAATGAAAAACCATTGCACTCAATCAATAAATGACAATTTCCCAGCTGGAGAGATGCAAGTGTAGGCCTGAGGTAAGGCAAAGGGGCCTGACTGCGTGCATCTCACTGGGTGGCACCTTTGCTCAGGGCAGGCTCGCCAAGCCCTACAAGCAGCTTGGCCATGCCCTGTGCCAATGCCAGGTCTGCCACATGGGGCAAAACCATACTTCAGCAGCCTCATCTTCCCTGCCCATCTTGCTGCGTGCAGGGTGCTGAGCCTCACAGGGACCTGTGCACACACACGTACACACACACACGTACACACACACACACACACGCCTGCAGAGAGCCAAGGACTGCAAAGTCCAGGCCGGTGGCAGCTTTTGCTCCGTTTTGAGTGCCATTGCTCATGTAGGCTTCGCCTGGAGCTGCCCTAGCCCTCCCCGAGTGCAACCACCCAGCAAACAGCCCTTCTCTCCCCCGGCCCCCTTTGCGCACTGACCTTGACCTGAATACAATAATCCATTTCAGCCATAAGCAATTGCAGAGAGTGGCGGGTCACCCAAGGATATTTTTTTCCAGCTCTGCTGTGGGTCGCAGCTCACCGTGGTGGTACTGCTTGGGAAGGAAGAGCTGCCTGCTATCCCCTTTGCCAACCCTTGGGCTCTTCTGGAGATGCCCAGTGATATTTGCATCCAGTGTCTGAGATGCACCCAACAGCCACCAGTGCCAAAAATATGCAAGGTGGGGGGCTGCCTCTTTAATTACATCCAAATAACAACTCTCGTCAAGCCCCCAGGAGGTGCTGGGTGAGCAAACGATCCCCTCACTGGGTTGCAGGGAACAGACATTGAACTGTTTGGCAGTTGCAATCAGAAGCCTTTTTTTTTTTCCTTTTTTTTTTCCCCCAACACTGGTCAACAGCTGTGTTGTTTATAAAATGAATGGAGCCCTTAATGAAGCAATAGATAGAAACAGTGAGAGGCTGTGTCTGTCTGTTACAAAGGGCTGAGGGGGAAGGGTTGATCTCCTAAAATACCCTGACATCCTTTCTCTCAGTTATTTAAACATTAGGCACAGCAATGACCAGCCATCAACATAAAGCCTATATTTGGCTCAGTGGAAACACTAAATCCACACATTAAAACAGCTGTTCATATATAGAGACCGGGATAGACATTCAGTTCCAGTGAATGTGAAATAGTGCAAAATAGTGCAAAAAAAAGCAGACAACCTGTGGGAAGGGGGAGGAGCAAGTTGCAAGCAGCACTTGTGAGACACTGCTCAATGTGTTGTGTTGATAGAAACAACAGACCAGGTTACTGGCACATTGAGAATTGCAACAGATACTCTGCCCAAGATGCAAAAACAGACAGCAAGAGGATTCCAGCACTGGAGAGAAAAAATAAGCAGCTTTGCTTTGAACTGTTTTTTCTCCAGCTCAGTCCATTGCTTGCAACACATGACATTAATCATAAACCCCCAAAACGTATCTAGGTTAAAGTTTCCAGCTGTTTGGTCTCTAGAGACTTTTAAAGAGGAAAGCAGCATCCTTCAGCACAAAAGTCCTGCTGCGATGACATGGTATTGGCACATCCTCTCTCCTCCTCTGCAAGGACAGGGAGGGGGAAAGCCATCTTGAAGTTTAGCCAGATTTTTGTACAGTAGGTGTCAAGGCCCAGGCAGAGGTGGAAAGAACTGAGATTTCAGCAATGACATCCTTTCTACTAGTGGTTTTGAAGAGCACCACTACAGCAAAGATTTGGTATTGAGATACATTAATGCAATCAGGAAGCCTGTTGGTCCCTGAGACCCCCATTCTCCTCTTCCACACTTTATAACCCCAAAAGGACTGTGAAGTGTGAACTGTTTATTTTCCGGAAACCTCCTGTTATCCAACCTGAAGTTCCTCTATGCTACAGGAGCTCCTTGCTCCGTGGTGGCCGTTCATCCTTTGAGAAAAGGGTGAAAACCCACCTCATCTTTTCTGGTTTAACGACACTACAGTATCCAGGCTAACTCTGCCTCCAAGAATAATGCAGAACTCAGCATTTGCTACCTCTAGGAAGAGGTTTTACAAAAATTTGCAAGCCACTTGCATCTCTTCAGTTACAGCACAAGTGAAGGATGCCAGGAGACCTTTTTTAGAGGAGGCATAACTCCTTGTAAAAGGTAAGACACCACTCCTCTGTATGGTCCTCCAGCTTTTCTGTACAGGTACACACTGTTCCTTGCCAAATGAATACTTTTTGTTGCAAAGCTGACATTTATAGTGGTCCTAGCAACTCCTTGCTGCTCCGAAGTGCTCACAGATCCCTTTGTGCTGCAAGAACGCTTGGATGCATTCCTCCCCGTTAAACAAAAATAAACTGCCTAGGCTTGACAGGCACACCATGGTGTCCTTGTGGAAGGAATGATTAGCCATTCCCAGGAAAGCTCAGCGAAGAACATAACTTTGCCTTTCTTTTGTAAGATGAGCTGGCACAGGTTCCTCCCGTTTTCACTGGCACAGGCTGTGGTTAACCAAATCAAGGCCTTTGCTAGTATCACTACAATTGCAACTGCTGAATCATGAAATCTAGCAGAGCCTTGACTCAGACATCCTAAATATTTGCTTTTGCCTCTTCCTATTGCAGGATTTTTTGACATACAGGAGGAAGGAGCAACCCAAAATAGTTCCAGCAAAGTGACAAATCCACCTGTCCCTGAAAACCCCAGTACGTTAAATCAGTTACTAGGCAAGAGCACCACATCCTCACTAGGGTCCCAACACAGAAAGCACAGCAGAGCCATTTTGGTGCCCAGGCTCTGTTATTTCCTAATGTTATTTCCTCTGTTATTTTCCTTCCCCACCACTGAACAGCATCAGTACTCCCAGCCCCCCTGTAACACATGGAAGGGAGCCTCCAAACCCACAGAGGGATGCTTCCCCATGAAGGGCAAATACTGCTCAAGTTACAAAAAGCCCCAATCTTTTCACAAGAAACCACTGAGATAAATAGAAGCTTAAGGTGAAGGACAACTGTACTCTGGTTTAAGGATGGAAATAAAAATGTTTTAATTCTTTCCTGCACCTTTAGATTCCTCTCCCTCTTGTATTTGTGGAGTCCTTTTAAAACTTATTTGTTAAGGGTTAATCTTTTCTCTCCTTTTCTGAAGTTAGATTCTTGCAAGGGGTCCAAGAGCAGCTTTTAGAAACTCAAAGTGGCATCTGCAATTTCAGCCAAGAGGCCCAAATACCTCCAGAGATTGGCGAGGGACATGTCACACATCAACAGATTTACAGATCAGATTGGGAACAGAAAGGATGCAATGAGCATGGCACCAACTCCAGCCAGGAAGTCAGTGTACAGACTACAGATCAGTGCACTAGACGACACTATATCTAGAGGGAAAAAGAAAGCTTCGAACATCAAACAAATAGTACTCCATACCAAGCCCTCAATTTTGTTATGCCTTTGTTAGAGCAAAATTATCCTTCAGTACTTTGAATAGCCAGTCATACCTAATACTGAAGTGTGCTGTGTTTTCTTAGTATAAATAGTAGTCTGGAGTGGAAAAAAAAAGTAGGGAAGAGCAGAGATATGAGCAGAAGAAATATTTCATTGGTACAAAGGGGTGACAAGAATATACTCCCACTGAGAAAGACTATTGTACTCCTGGTAAAACATTAAGACACCAGACATTGCAAAGTTACAAATTTATTTGTTTTGAAATAAATACAAATACTTCATTAAGAAACTTTTCTTGATAGACTTTACACAATAGCTTTATTCTTTCTGGAAATTGTCTTTTCTTCCCACAAACTGTTATGGATATTCTACACAAGAGCTGAAGTTAGTCAATATAAAGTAACCTAGATGGTGGTGTTCTGAACAAGCAGTCCCAAAGTATTAACATTTGCTATTTAACTGCTCGGCATTTGAGTTTTCTTTGTGTGAGGACTGCAATGCAGCAGGTATGCACCGGAGCTCAGGAAATCCTGACCCACTACCTACGGAAGGACAAACTTAAGAATACCCAACTGTGAAAATCTGACTGGTGGAAAGGTATTAAGCCACTAGCATCAAAGAAAGTAACCCAAGATATCGGGAGGCTACCTAAAGATGCAGAACCAGCAGATCGTTACATTTATGCAGTCATTAAACGCTGTATTTCACAGATACAGTGTTGCCGCTCCACCACTTTGTGGAATACAGTTCTCAGCACCAGTGAGATCTCAGAGTTTCAAATCTAGTAATTAGTGGCAGTTGAACATACAGTATCTAATTACATGCCATCCCACAGTTATTCATCTCTCCTGACAAAGAACAGCTGGATCTGGCTTTGCTTACAGAATTCTGAATTTATCACAATTGTGCTGGACACAAAAACTTGAGCTGCAAAGATAAGAAGCTGTCTGAAGGAAAAAAAAAAAATCAAGCTGTTTCTGCTTTGCTGGCATGTACGACTACCCTACTTGTTACAACTACACCAACTTCTGCGGTATGGTAAACCCTTTGGCCCAAGATCCCAAAGAGGAAATGCTACCTTGCTCATTAAATTTAAATCCTGTCCTCATTCGGCTAAGCAGGTTTTAGGGTCTGGGAGGGGGGAAGGAAAGGAAGACTGGAACTAAATCTCAAAAAAGTGAAATAAAAAAAGCTTAAAGATTTAGTTCATCTCAAAGTCACATTAAAATCGTCTATTTTAGTAGTATATTATTGTACATAGGAAAACAGGCTTGAATACTAATGAATTAGAAGGCCTATAAATGCACGATACATTAACTTCTTTATCATTTGAAGTCAAGCTATATACAATGAATTCAACTCCAGCTTCAACATGAGGCCATAACACATTTGTTTCATTTCCTTCTTTAAAAGCCATCCATAATAGTGATTTTTTTTCTCCCCCTCTTTGAAACTTGTCTCAAATTGTGCCAGTTTACTTCAAGAGAATAAGAGATAAAGGGGCACGTAATAGCTTTGATTTTAAAGGAGGATATTAAGCAAGTCTGGTTTGACTCTGAAGTGTTTACAACCACATCAGCTTTTGGCAAGTATCCTTTAGAATTTGGCATCCATTGAAGGAGGGCACAATAGCAGCAACTGTCTGAGTTACAAGAATAACGACAGAGCAAATGAGATGCTTCTTTTCTTTGGTCCCTGTCAGACCCTGGTGAACAGAGTTCATCCTACAGAATAGCTTGAGATTAATACCAGTTATGTTTTTGTGATACACAGGGGGCATCCATTACTTTTTTACACTGTGACCAGTTTAAACCTCCCACAGCCATCTAACAGGACACTTCCATGGACTTGGGGCTTGATTGTTCAGCGTTGCTTGCTGAGTTCGGCGTCAGCTCGATGCGCGTGTCTGTGTGGGAGCGATTCCTGGCACCCTCCCCGGTGTGGGATCGGCTCCTCGTTCCCTCCCCGGTGTGAGACCGGCTTCTTGTGCCTTCCCCGGTGTGAGACCGGCTCCTTGTGCCTTCCAAAGAGGTTACGCTGGAGCCAGAAGCAGTGCGGGACCTCATCAGCCTGGTCATGCTAGCAGAGGGGACTGGAAAAAGAGTCTTTTCTTAATGCCTTGCTTCATGGGCTTGGAAGGAAGCCCTTGCCTTCCTCTCCAGCCCTAACCACCCTTGGAAAAGCCTTCAGGGTTGAATATATACTTTTCACGGTAGCTTCACGGGTAGAAGTACCACTGCTCCAGGCATACAGTTAAAGATCCCAAATTACTAAGGCAAAATTGGTGGCCAGGGCTGAGGGATTCAAGACAGAGCTTTATGGCATGTTGCTGTGGCTGCAACAAGCCAGAGGAAAACTAAAGAGACTCATCAGACCTCCCGTTACTTTCAGGTGTTTAACCTTTGCTGGCAGCCCAGGCTAGCAATGCATTTACACAACAGTTGTCAGAAGCACATACCTGAAGGACAAACAGCTACAAATTAATTAGTTTCTGAACTAACGAGGTTTTAAATGCTGTGTGCAGCATATCAGTCATATCCTGTGATGCAATGAGGGGACACTATTACAAATATCCACTTTAAAAATATCAAGATAAAGTAAAGCAGGTATTTGTGGGTATAAGCCATCTACAGAGTTCTCTACTATTTAGTAACATAATTTGGTCTGAAAACCCTTTGCCCAGACACCAGAGGTGGTGGTTTGTTTTTTTTTCCCCTTGCAAATGCATATCCAACAGGGAAAAGATCACACACATGGGATCATAAGACTCTGGGTGCTTAGATGCCCAACAAACTTTGGTAGCCAGGTGAACCATTCCATAAAACTGATACTTACTGTATCCCATTCCCTGAACAAAGTATTTGAAAGCTTCTGCAAGCTTGGCAGGCTGCAAAAGAAAGAGTATTATTGTATGCAGTGGTCAGCAAGTTAGTTACATTGCAATGTTATAGATACCATAGATGCCCTTTCTGAATAGGGACATCTTAAATACTCTCTGGGTTCTACTGAATGTCTGAAATTTTGACTTACATGAGAAAATTCCACCATTCCCCTCCCTAGTCTGTTCCCCTGCCCCATTATTTTCCCAAATGGACACACACATTTGAGCATGAGATTTCCAGAGAAGTGACTACAAGTGGTCTAAGCCTGGCCCAAACTTTGCTCTTGCAGTTACTGAGGCAGATGAACCAAAGTAAAACAACTGGCCTCACAAAATATACGAGGCAGTTCATACAGCATCAGTAATTGAGCAATTCCTAGCCAGCATAGAACAAATTCAGCTAGTCAGAGCTGACGTTATGTTTATAGGGCAAAAAAGCTCAACAGGAATACACAAGCACAACTGCATACGACTGACATTCTTGCAATGAGGCACTCTTTTTCTGATGCTGACACAGTGGCCAAATAAGCCTCAACCTCAATTACTGACCTTGCAAATATTGCCTATATTTTTGTTATAATTTTTATCTGAATCAGCTCAGGGAATGGACTCTATCAGAGAGGAGCAATGCACATACTCCTTTGTAGCTTTAAAAAGCCTTTTCCCCTCTCCCACTGTAAAAGCACACACTGCCTCTCCAGGGACTTCTCAGCTGCAGGTTATTACAAATTCAGTTTTTTCCTTAAGTTCAGAACACCACATTATATTGCTTAGAAATCTGTTTAGAAAACATCACATCCTAAAGCTGATTTACAGGTCCGCTGTTTTAGTGAAGGAACACTAGAGCATAGGTAAATTTTAACTTTCCCAGCCTGATTTTACCAGCAGCCTTGGAATTTATGCCTAAATATATTTCAGAAACTCCAGCTCACTCTCAATCAAGCCAGGTCAGTGTATGCAAGAACATAGCGTTGTTATTTCCTGCCTCCCACTTCCCTGATCTATACTATAAATAGTCCAAAGAATAATATGGTTTTAAAACACTAGTGCTCAATCCTTAATCCATGTTAGCTTAGTAGATAGGCATAAAATAATACCTCCGCATTCCCACCTCAGACCTTTACTTGGTTAAGACTTAATTAGTGGAAATAATATCCCCTCCCAATCTCAATTTTGCGCTTCATTGGTCTTTAAAGAAAAAAAGCTCAGATGACTGACTGACGTCATTATTCGTGAAATCATAACCATCCTTTTGGCTGACATTTGGGAACAGCAAGTACCCTACAGGAAAACATCCATTTGTTGCAGTCTGACATGCTGCAGAACAGGATTAGTAGGATTTCCGTCAGCCAAATCCTACCTGGGAAACTTGAGGGAGCCCACCACAGTCAGCCATCTGAAACAGGGACGAGAACAGCCAGTTAGTGTAATGCCAGAGGAACTCGTTTATGTTCAGGATATATTAAAATGACCTTTTCGCTATCTGGCAGAAAAAAAATTCCCTTTTGTTGTGTGAGTAACATACGTGTAGATGAAGGCATCAAAGAAAGCAGTTAAGCGTTTATAAAAGCTACAACTGCACCCCAGAAAACCCCGAAGTGTCTTGACCCTCAGGCAAAGCATCAGCTGGAGCTACAAATAAATGTTTTTTGCTAGGAAATGATTACCAATTTCTTAGAAACTAGCCTATTAGTCCTGGATACAAGTTCAGCTCTGAATTACAATAATGTGACTCGGTATTGACCTGAATAACCAACAGGGGAGAGAGAACAAACACCTAAACCTCAGTGGTGAGAGGGAAAAACAATTTGCTGAGATTGCGGATGGCAAGCATCAGCCTGACTTGCCAAGGGAAGCAGGGAAAGCCAAATTAGAAAAGCTATCTTGAGTGCATGCAATATTTTTGGAGCACTTCATTTTTCCTGCCACTCCACCCCTCAAAGCAAACCCAACAAAAACAGTCCTGTTCCAAGGAACACCACAAGCTGAAAACAGTTGAGTTGTGAATTACAGGAAACCCCAAATCCTATCTAGGATTAGTTAGCAGCAAAACAGGCCTGTAGCAGGATCTGGCATCAGCCGCATCCCTGGACTGAGCAAAGGCTGGCCACTGATAGAGGATCTGAGAGTGTCACATTTTTTCTTAGGGTGAGTCTGCCATGTCCATGTGGTAGGTCAGCAATGTAATTCCTCAATGTTAAGAGGAAAAAGCATTTAAAAAAATCATTGTTTATTATAATTTTCACTGACCAGTTAAAGAAAGAGATACAGTAAAAGTTCCCAGCAGAAGAATGACCCAACTTGTTTCACTGTTTGCATGCTATTCCACTCATTGCATTTTACTTCATCAATAATGAGCTGAAGATTCCACCCATACTCTGAATGCCAAGTATCAGCCAAAGCCTTTGCACAATGCTTTGCTGTTTGGAAGTGCATTTTATCAAGTTTTTGGAAAATAAGAGAGTCGTTTCCAATGGTAAGATGTCCTGGACTGTGTCCACATAAAAGGCAGGATAACAAAGCCATGGCTGATAGATCAGCTGTCTACTCAGCTGACACTACTGTTGAGGGACAGGCAAGCACAGGAACAGAACAAGTTGGTTTGCACTTCCACTCCGCTGATGGCTTTTTTCAAACCTTTCCAAATACCTCGAGATCAACTTTGCCAGCTCTAGTTAAATTCATTATGGGTATGTGAAATACTGAGCATTTCAAGACTCACCCCTAGTGTTTCAAAATGGAGGCACTGAGAAATTCCCTGTTGCTAACCTAGACAAGAAGGCCCTAGTCTGCTTTATCCCAGTAAAATACTCTTACCCTGAAGGAACTGCCCTTCCACATCAGAACTGGATCCTCACCGTGTTACCTGTACTGCAGCACATCAGTGTGGTTCTGCTTTTTTAGTTAATCCAGCTGATTTTAAATGAGGGAAATGTTTATTTTAAAGAACAGCTTTTGTTATTACCTTCAGAAGTGTGGTCCTTGTTGGGTCCAGCTTTGAGTTGCATTCAACCTATAAGAAAGAACAGCAGCATAAGGCATTATATACGAGATTTTACTTATGAACTGCTGGGTGAAAACAGATTAAATATCTTGCTTTCTGTCTTAATACAGACTAAACTGGGTATCTTGGGCTCCTGTACAAAGACTATGTGTACATATATACATCTTTAAACTCAAGTAGGTCAGTTCACATTTCTGACTGTATTCTTTTTCATGTGCAAACCCACTAGTTGGGAATTTGAGATATTTTTTTTTTTAATCTGTTTCTGGGACTCCAGTGGCAACAAGTGTTGTTTATCTTGTGATCTGGGGTCATCTGGTAGCATCCCAAGTAGTGAGCAGCCATGTGGCCACAGGCCAGCAAACTGGGCATGCCCGTTGAGGCATAACATTTGAAGTCACCCAGTCATCTGGGGCGAGTTATAATGGTCAAAAAGAAGCTCTTCGCTTCCATAGTGACCCAGGGCAGAGCTCCAACACCACAGAACAAGCTAAAATACCAGCAGCAGATTCCTCTCTAAAGGAAAATATTTGCGGTTCACTGGAACTGCTGTGGCGATTGTTCCTAACGCAGTAGCTATTAAATAATAGTGCACAGACAGAGGGGACAAACAGCAAGGAATTAATGGCAGCTCTCCCGTGGTCTGAAGGAGGAGAGCCAGCTGGGCTGGATCGATAGCCAGCAAGGTTGCTGCGCGGGTGTGAGCTCTGTCAGCCTCGCGCAGCTTCCTGGCTCGCCTGCCCATTAGCACGGTGGCAAAGACAACTCGATATACCCACCACAGCATCCACCGCCGGGGAACTGTCACCAACCACCAGGAGGACCGGGCATCTGCAAGGAAGCACACAAAAGCAGTATTATCTCTGTGATCTGGCCCAGACTTGCCCTAAGCTGCATTTTGTGTTGCTGGAAGGATAAGACAGTTAAATGTGTGAAAATGATTTGTTTTGTATTCCAGACACCCTAAATATACATCAAATCCACTGTATTAGCTGCAGATCTACTGACATGCTCTGATACCTTGCCTAAGAACCTGTCCTTTTCCCCACCTCGCAGCAATCAGCCCTTCCCAGTGCTCTTATTCCTTCTTTTAAAAGAAATTGAATGTGGGCATCAGCATCAAAGTCTCACCCCCACCACCCCCTTGCCCCTTGAGCTCCAACTTTTGGACCTGTCATCCAATTTCAACCAGATTTGCATAAGAGCAGAGTCTCAAAGTCTCCTGTGTGTAAACATCAGCAGCTGAGCAGAGAAGGACTTGACAACTGTTTCGTTGTACAAGTTGCAGCATAAGTGAAAAGCTATTAGCAGAAGATCTGGTAGTTAGTCATTCTCATACATGCTCCATCTTCCTGAAGATTCGTTTATGGTTTTTTTTAAATTGGGTTTTTTATGTTCCCTTGGTTGCATAGGCATGGCTTAAGTGCATTCAGACCTATAGTTTCCATTAACTAGGACATATTTCCAGGTGAAGCTAAGTACATCTACTTTTCAAGTAATTACTCTGTAAGCCCAAGTTTGCAGATACACAGTGACAGGAACTACTTAGCTTTCCATTTCAGCTAATATGACTCTGAAGTTTGAAGAGGGGAAGTCTTTCTAATGGCAGTCCCTGACTTGCAGTAACCTTTTATCTCCTAGACAAAGTTACAAGATCCTTTTCTAGCACATAAGCACATCCAGCTACAGCTCTGCAATACATATGCAATACACCCACTGATCACACCTCTTAGCTCACATCATGTACAGGTGAACTGGTAGGAAATAAAATACTTACTGAAGGGTGACAACATTTATTCCAGGAACAGGGCGCTCAATCTCTAGGTCTCGCCGACTAAAAAAAAAAAATGGAGAGGACAAAGGCTCTTGATACACTGAAATTTTACAGATACTTCCATATTTTTCCAGTTTAGAGAAAGCACAGACACTCACATATGTTAATTTAACCTGATACATGTTGTAGCCTCCACAACTGATGGAGAACCACTTTAGCCTGAAGTATCAGTGTCTTAGTTCAGTCCCAGTGTACCATCTATCTCCCCACAAATGCACAAGGTCCTTTTCCCGTAAGCAAACCACCTGAGATCCCTAAAGGCACTGTCAAGCAGAACTTTATACTGGGGGAACACAAGCAACTCCACCACACAAGTAATACTGGCTTTAAGAGATGGACAGCCTCTTAAAACAGTTTCCAGTTAGAAATCAGGTAAATGTATTTACCTGTTGTAAGAGTTGACAAAGAGATGAAGGTTGGTTTGATTCATGTCATTAATAATATGCTGGCGGTAAGTATGGATCAGGTCATGGTTGCTGTGAATCTCTTCCTACAGTGGAGACAGAATTATTCAGAACAGGGGCTATTTTCTGAAAGGATCTGAAGACATGGCACAGCAGTTGTGTTTCAGACTCATATCTACACAACAGGAGTGCACCTCTAGGGAAGGGACAACTTCTAGTACCCAGTGGTGTCACCCAGAATTAACATTAGCCTCTGATTGCAGTACCACATGTTTTGCTTTAAAACTTCAGTATGTTGTAATATCAAGATCTTAGGATTGCAAAACATGTAGCTGTAGTGCAGATGGTTACAGTCAGACAAGTGTGAGGTTTTAAAATGAAAAAAGATTCAGGGTAAGAAGCTCAATAAATGTTTCCAGGGTAAAGCAGATGTTGAAAGCTTAAACACATGTAATGTGGAACTCAATTTCACAATAGTAAATAACTAAGCTTCAAGGACTTCACTCACTAACATTTTCAAACAGTTTGGTTCTAAAGTCTTTATAGATCAGTTCCTTGTTCTGCTGGAGTGGAGTTTTCCATTGCATTTACTAACAGTTTCAAGCACAGGAAACTAGCCTCAGAAAACAGTATAGCACTTTCCATTAAAGTAGGCTTGCACTGAAGAGCACCATTGGTACTAATAACCAGCTTTCCCAGAGTTACAAGTATATTATGGTATAAAAAATCTGTGAGGTAATTCTGCTCAGAACATGAGCATGTACAATGCTTATAGTCATGTTTAAGTGTTTGCTGTCTAAACAGGGAGCTGCTCCTACTTGAGTTGTCATGACTGAGATGCACTTGGGTTGTCAGGACACAGCAAGCCCCATGGCAGCATACCACCTCCAAAATACTGGGAACACAAGTATGAATCCTATCTCACAGTTTAACTTTGGACTTTGTTGTTTAAGTGAAGGCTTCGCTCCTCCTCCCAACCCCAGGAGGTAAATACAAATGACTGAATACATCAGAGGAATCTTTTGCACATCCTTACCTTTCCAAAAAGATGTGAGATGACCATGTCTGGTAAAGCATTTGTCCAACCTGAAATCTGAACAGAAAGATTATCTAAGTATCTGATACTAAAACAATCCTTGAACAACTGAAACCTTCCAAATACCCATAAGTAGACCAATGGATGTTTCTCTGCTGTCCTTATATGTACAGTATCCTGGACTGATATTTTTTCCCCTCAATCCAACTAAAACACCATTAGGAGTTGTTTATGTTTGAGTCATTCTCATAAGATGTCTTTACTAATGCAGATATATAAGGAACATACCACTAGTGGCATAGATATATATGGAATCACCCCCTGCAAGAATGCCAAACAAACAAACCAGCCAGATGGGTGTCATCATTTAACCTCACTGCCCAATCTCCTCCCTAACAACCCACACTGACAATATGTTGAAGCAGGTACCTAAAGCTCATGTCCCAGAGTATGTGCTCTTGTTTCATAAGGACAGAAGGATACGGGGCACCCACTGTACTTCTAAGTTCAGCAATACTTAGGAGAGGTGGAAGGCAGAGGCACAGATATGGAAGAATTTAATTACAGTGAGACATTGGGTGAGATAATCAAAATAGGGTCAACTGGCACATCTTAATGTAGAAGAGTTACTAAATATACTTCCAGATCAAACTTACCAAAATAAACTGGTATGCAAAATCATTTTTAAAAAAAATGAGTAACTAAGCCTTGAAAGAATGTTACATACCAGCTCTGAAAAAGCTTCTCCTAGTATTATAAGGTTGTCATTATATTTAATGCAACCCTGGACACTTACAATGGGTTGACTATGTGTGGTTAAAAGATGGCACACTGATTTTTGTACTTCTCAGTGTTTGTAACAACTGCCGTTCACTTAAACGTGACCCTGAATGATACAAAGTGCCTTCCGTCAGTTTACCCGGAAAAAAGTTTTAACAGGTTAAATCTGAGTGACACATAACGTAACATTTATACTTATTTATATATATTGGTTCCAGGAAGATTTTTGAAACCAGTTCTCAGCATCTGTTTTCCCACATTCCCACATTTCTTACAGCTACAAAAGAATATAGTTAACAAGAGCTTCTCTGTATGTTAACATTTTCACTGAAAAGTCTGGTTGTACGGACAATCTGTCCACAGTTACCATAGCTAATGCCCTTTTCTGAATCTTTTTGGCATCTAAGACTCCGCTAGATGACTGAAACCTGGAAGATGTTGTTCTGAACGTTTTTCTGTGCTCTAGTTCACATTTTGGACTGTGCTGGTAAACAAAGCCATGGACAAGAAAACTGAATGTTACGCTATGCTTGAAGTTTACTTGAAAGAAAGTTGTTTCCAAAACTACCCTGTGTCCACGGTAAACCAGGTTTTCCCCAGCAGTGACCAGCTCTTAAGAATTGTCCATACCCGGTAGCTCTATTATGCCATGGGTATCTGTCTCCTAGAAGTACTTATTTTAATCAGTAGCCCTGATACATACAGGAGGTATGTTTGCAAATGGAAGAATAAACCCCAGACAAATTACCCTGGGATATTTTGTGTCTGCAGCCATGCCTTGACACACAAGCTTGCCCAGCTCCTCATGCTCAACAGGCTCACAGTACAATTTATTTTTCTAACTTAAAAATGTTTACCTTAGTTGCTGCCCAGTCCATCCAACCTTCAGCACAAGGGTTTACATTAATGAGAACTAATCCCTCCACCATCTCTGCATGGTTCAACTGCAGAAGAAAAGATTTAAGATTCATCGCATATCCTTTGCAATTTGACAGTCAGCATAAAATTTAAATTAGCAAATTAGCTCCTGGTGAGGAAGGCAGTAGGTCTAGTTTTATCTTGCACAAAACAAGCGTATGTATGGAAAAAAAATTTTCATTAAAGCAATTCAACTGAGCAGCTGGAGAACATTAAGATTTAACTTCTCCTCCACCCTCAGTTTAAATAGAGAACTCCCATTAAAAAAACCTTCTGCGAATTAACTGGGTAGAGCCCAGGCCTTAAAATGGAAAATCTAGGTCTTCTGGATTAGCTATCCCGCAGATTGTGGTATTTCACTTAAAAGCCTAACTGCTTACTTAAATGGGCACGGCAGAGCAGGAATTCTCTGCAAACGCTATGGGGATGACAACACGTTAGGGAAATCAGGTTCAAGGCTTTAGGGAAGCTCCACAAAACTTACAGCAAATCTGGTTAAGATGTAGGCACCGGCTCCAGTTCCCATTCCTATAACGGTCTTCAGCCTGCACAGCAATAAAACGGAAGAGACAAATGAGTAAGCACCGAACATAAATAAACCCGCATCAGCAGCCTTCCTCTTTCACATGCCAGTGGGTATCTACAGAAGGGTGGGTTGCAGCTCGGGCAAACCATGGACCCTCAGCAATGCCACCAACCTCAGTAAGGAACTCGACATAGCAGCTGGTTTGTTTTTGGCAGATTAGCAGGACACTGGTCCTCATGTATTGCAGGGCAGCAGCAATTCTCACTTATCTTTAAGTAAATATACTGAGCAACCATAGCATTGTTCTCATTCTGGAAGGAAATGGTTAGTCTCTGCCAGAAAAACTTATAAGATACAGTCCTGAAATCTACAGCCTAAAGACAAAGCTCCCCCCTCCCCAGGCCTCCCCTGCCCTCCCTATCTCCCAGCTATCCAACGGGGACACTGATTCCTCTCTAACAGGGGGCTGGCAGGGAAACCTCTCATGCTATCCAGCCGCTGGGGTGATTAAGCTTAAACTTCATAACCAAACAGGGCAGAGACAAACCAAATATTTGCATTAACTGAAATTGGTTTTAAAGCATCGCCTTCAAGGTATTAGAAAATAAATGTAAGGGAAGACTAGACAAAACCACTCAGAAAAACAGGTTATACAACGCTTTCAGGAAAATACTTGAGGATAGGTTTCATTCTCATTAGCAATATTAAATCAAGGCTTTGTAAATACACTCCAGTTTAATTGATTTTCAAGGTACGAACATTATGTAAGCATTTTTTTCAGTGCAAGAGCAGAACTGGCAACCCTGTGCCTTACATTAGGCATTTAAAAATAACTAATCTCTTAAGAAGGTAGTGAGGTAAACTGGTCCAGGGTACTGTAACAGCTGGTTACAACAACTGAACAATGTCTAAATTGGGGTGCTGGTCCGAGACTAAAACCCCTGCCAGCAGTCCAGCCTGTCTGTTCTCCAAGACTGCCTAACCCTGAATGCCAAGTTTTCTCTGCTTGGTCTGAAAAACCCTTGGAGGTGCCTGCCCGCACTCTTCATTGTGTACCAGGAGCACCAACTCCACAGAGAACGTACTCTTCTCACCTACAGCTCTTGCTAAAGCTAAGCTTTAAGGAAGGACAAACACCTAAACCTGTTGCAGGTAGACAACAGAGGAACACTGCCACCAGGTCCTTCAACATCGGCAATCTGGCATCTGCATTTGGTAGTAGAAGAGGCTTAAGGAGGTCAGACTGACCCCCTAAGACACTCAAGCCACAGAAAAAACAGTAAGTGTCTTCAGAAGGGACCATGTTTTTTTTTTTTTTCTACTAACCACACAGTAAAACGTGGGTTGTTACAGTAGGAAGAACAGATTGTCTGTGCCCTGCCCCTGTGAGGGTGACGCATAGAAAATACTGGAGAAAGCCCCTAAATTAGGCACACGGGATTTCACTCAAAGTTGCTTCCTGTTTAAAAATAAACAGACATTTCAAAAAAGGCCAAAAAAGAAGCTCTTTCAGAAACAAAGGCAAAAGTGATCCTTCTATAACAGAGGCATTAAAAAACAACCACAACCGTAATTCTAGCAAACAAAACACCAGATAGCCAGACCAAAGATTCAGGGGCAGTAAGGTGAATATCTGCTCTGCCTTGCTTTTTTGGTGTGCCACATAGAGAGAAGAATGAGGAAAAGTAAATAATTCTGCACTCACCCAAACTGTTTCAGGATTCCAGGAAGCATTTCGGCCAGCTGATCCATGGAGGGATACACGTACCTACAACAGATATGTGTTTGTGGAGTTACTACACCACTTTCAGTAGAGTAGGCTGGGATATTTAGAGACACAGCGGTCACTGTAGATTCAATACCAAATGTGCTCATTACAAGATCATTGACAGTATGAGCTGAATTTAAATCAGGGGCAAGCACAAGTAAGTAATTTAGCAGAAATATGAGCATAATCTATATGGTACTTTATGTGAGTTACAGGATGATAGATGTCTGATCTGGCTGAGAGCAAAACTGACCACAATGAATCTCTTCCAAGAAAAGTTAACACTTAAAACTTATGAAAAAGTTTGAACTTGAGAGGCGAGTTTCCAGCCACACTCACCACATTTGTACTTCTGGTCCACCACAAAAGAGTTTCCCTGTGTTACAGAATCGCAGACTACAGCAATGAGACCTAGATCTTTGGCAAATAATTTGCATGCATGTTTTCAGGGACACACAAATTACTACAGGATAAATGAGGATAACTCTATTAATATTGATGGAGAAAATGAAGGCATAGGAAGGGCTATGAAGCTACTGAGGAAGTTCAATAAAAACAGCTGTCAGTTAGTGCTCCGGGTCTTCTACAGAGTAGAAACAAAATTTTAACGGAAGGAAATTCTGAGCAAAATCTCAACTGAGCAGCACGTGGTAAAAAAATCCACCCAAAGTAGCTGGAGAACATCTGCCTAGGATATATCCAAATCTGTTTCCTATCAGGACTACACCTAATGATTCTCTAGTTTAGTCTCCAAAACAAAACCAAACAAAAACCAAACAGTGCAAAAGTTCTTTAAGTTATTTTCTTCGATTTTTTTGTTGGAAAACTAAACCTTGGCATGACAAAACCTAGTGTCACCACAACAGCTATGACTTTTAACTTTTAAGCATGCTGGTCTCCCAGCCTGAGGGCTGAGAGAGATAATACAGCTTCTTGTGCTGTCATCATTATGTTATTAAGCAGCGGTCTTTACTAGCATAGATCATGATGGCTGCCCTATGCAGCTGACAACGCAGAATCGTTAACCCTCATGTCCTGAAAAAGCGTTAAGACACTTAAAAGCTCGTGATTCAAACAAATACAAAGGGGGGGTGTGACTGAAATAGCTTTGTAGGCTGCTCTGGTAGACAACTGGGCCATTGCAGTTAACACTAGCTGAGAACCTGGCCCATCATGACCTCCTCAGCATCAGACCAGCTTAAAAATTAAGAAGGAAAATAGACTGGCTCCTGCAATAAGGGTACATATAAGCTCCTTAATACCTACATCTTACAGAACAACTGTTTCTTGCCTTGTACCTTCCCCTTGGCATGCTGACTGCTCCCTTCCTCAACCAAGCTGACTCCTATGCAAGGGGCATCTTAAGGCAAACCTGTCTCATTTGAACTAAATGGGACAAGCATTTTGGCAAAGACAGTGCTCATGGTACACAAGGTTTCCAAGAGTTACAGCATCATACACGATACACAGTCAGGACTATGCAGCGATCTATGATATTCTATGGGGGTATATCACTTTGTTACTGTCCAACAACTTGGATTTTCCAGGTAGGTTATCAAGTCTACTTATCAACATCTACCATGCTGCCATTGCATAAAAACATGGCTTTAGGAAGGACTTAATGGTTGGACTTGATGATCTCAAAGGTCCTTTCCAACCTTAATGATTCTATGATTCTATGACATCATATAGTGGCTAATGCCTATCTTGTTTATAGTAACAATTTAGTTTTGTATTTGTATTCAGGATGTCATTATAAAACAAGGTAACTCAATATTTAAATTGACAGATGTAGACATCTGTCAAGGAATTGCTTTACAAGCAGTCTAGTTATCTAGACTGATATAAAACACAAAACTACAGCCCCAAAGTCTACTGCAAACTGGCACAACACAACAGAGCTCCCAGAGCTCCAGTATCTTAAATCTTAGGATTTAAGTTCAAAAGCCAACTACTGTGCTTGCTGCAAGTGCTTTTTAATTAAACGGCAGATCAAGATGCTTTTTCCAGAAAGAGGATAACTCTGAAAGCATGGGGTGTTTCCCTGACAACTCACCCAGCTTGGAAAGACGGTGCTCCATCCTGCTGACCAGGTGCATCCACATGGCAGACTGCGAAGTGCTGGGTGATTTCCTGCATATCCTCAAAGTTGAAGAGAGGATTGAAGCAAGTTTTATCTTGAGAAGGAAAAGATAATATGGAATAATTATGCTGAAGGGAAATAGTAAGTTTGCAGCTATAATAAAATCATTTATTAACCTGTCCTGCAGGCTAATGAAAAGTCAGTTTATCAGATGAGTAATAGCCTGGGAAAAGTGGGAGCCCTTTATTTCTAAGGAGGAAAGACCAGTAAAGCCCTGCTAAAAAGCAACCTGTGCCAACTTGCTTTAATTCCTTGAAGAAAAAACCTGAACAGCTCCTTCCTCATGGCCAACTAAGGTTTATCTGTGTTATTTTGGTACCCGCCAGAAGTACTTGCCTGGTACACCAAAGTCTCAAAATTTTTTTCTTTATGGAAAGTTAAAATACTAATAAAATGCAGTCAGGAGTATTCATCCCTGGTTTTGGCTTAAATGAAATTATCCATTTACTTGTCCAGCCATTTTCCTTTGGATTGTGTCAAAACAGATGGAGCAAAAAAGTATCCAAGGCTGAGGTTGTGACTTGTGCTTTTGCCCAAATATTACAAGATAAACATTACATGATCGGCTGCTGCAGGCAGCTCAAGACAAAAGCATCCTTCTGGGATACTCAGTGCTGTAGGCTCCCAACTTTGAGGTGATTTGATTTCTGATTTTTAAGGAATATTAATGCAGGGAGAGGATTAGCGTATTTTCCTCCTGGAGTGGAAAGCATGAATTCTGTAGCACCATCTTTGAGATGCCTAGAAAACAGTTCAATATTCTGTATGTGTTTCTGAATGTCCTCACACTACAACATACAAGCAAAATCACTGCAGAATATAAAACATTTTTAGCTAAAATCAGCTTTACGAGAATATGCAAGTTTGGGAGAAGGTTCCTCCCCTTTCAAAGGGAGTGGAAGTTCATTCACCATAAAGATAGACTGTGTAACTCCAGAAAGAAAAAAGTCTTATCCAAAGACGGGACCCAGATTAAGCTCTGCCCTGATCCACTGGAAATCCAAAATAAAGTAAGGCAGTTCCACAAAAAACAGGCAAGAAAAAAAAGATTTTTTTCTTATGAGTAATATCTGCCCCCCAGCAATAGCCAGACTCTAAAGATCTGCAGGTGTTTTAAAATGTAAATATTGATTAAGAAACAGTAACTTGTGTGAAACAAACAGTACTGGTGAAAAGAACAAATTAGAGCAGATCTGGATATTAGGTCATTATATTCTTGGATCTGACAGATAAGATAAAAGGCACTTGAAGTTATTTTCTTAATACTGGCCAAGGACACAATGCTGGCACTCATTTTGTCATCCCGATTTGATAATTTATATGATTTATATGAACCCACAGCAACCTAAGACTGGTTATCAGACAGGAACCTCAGCCAAAGCACCAGCAATGTTGTTTTCAATCCTGCTGGTAATACACCCTCAGCCATCCCCTATAGGTGTTTTTACAGCATTTATACATGGTCACTGTGAGCTACCAGAGAACTTTTGCTCCTTTAAGTGAAATATCCCAATTATTTACTTCAAGAGGATAAAAAAATCTGAGAATTAAACTCACTGTAAGAGAGCAATGAGGTATCATCTAACAGGTTGCAACGCACATAAATGAGCAAGGTCCTGGAAAAGGTTTCCTAACCATCGCCACTTCCACACCTTTGATTATGGCAGTGGTGTTAAGAAACCAGGCCATACCTGTGCTTTTAAATAAAAGGTCTACTTACGATTCAACCCGATGTCATGGTAGGTGAGGATAGCCGGCCGGTTCCCTCTGGGAGTCCCACACATGGTGACATGGACCGAGCCATGCACAGTCTCCACATCTTGCTCCTGGCAAAGGATAGGAGAAATCTGTTACGGGCTTGTCCAAGTGCTCCACTGAACACCCGCAGCAGCAATCTCTGACCATCAGCACAGGTCCTGCCCCATCCCAGGGTCCGCCCGCAGCCCCGGGGGTCTCCGCAATTCCTGTGCTAACACACCCTGTTCTCCCCCACGGTGGGGGCTTTCTGCTAACATTTTACATTCAGCTGTCACCTATTCCAGTCCACAGACAACTACAGAAGCACTTAAGCTGCTAGCTCTAACCAGATGCTGAGAGAATAGTTAAATAGTTTTTAACCTCATTAAAAGGCAGCATAAGAAAAAAAAATGAAAACAGCCCAATGCAATGACACCTAAAATAACAACAGTTTACAACCATGACTGTCGACATTCGCAAAAGTGCAAGTTGCCAAGATAAAATACTTCTGTTTTCTAGGAAAAGAACTTTAACTCAGCAAATAACTACTATTCCCCAAAGAAAGCAGTATTAAGTAGCCTGTATTCACCATGAAGACTTATCACACTGTGGGGCCTTGTGATTATAGTAGCCTTCCCCAATAAACACGACAGCCACGTGTTAGCTTTATGACTCGCTATACATAGACCTGAGCATAAACCCAGCTGTCTAAAGTTTGCTATAGAGCAGCATCTCCACAACATTGTTGTGGTAATTCTCAGAGAAATAATGTTAAGGAGCATACTGCTATTATTTGACGTAACAGGAATTTGTACTATTTAGTGATCTTAAAGCTACAAACACCTTTATTATCAAATCAAACACCCCCTGAGTACCATCTTTTATTTATTGGATGTCTATGTAAGTCAGATGTGACCTGGGTCATACTAACACCCACAACATACAGAACAGATTTTTGTTTCTTTTGCACTTCACCTTCAGATGGGTATAAACAAATTGTTATTTTGCCAACATGTATAAAGGGAATCACAAAACAAAGTTTTTTATGACACTTATTTACAGTACTGTTACACTCACATAACAGTCAAGGCAGTATATGGTTAGTAGCCAGTCTTAGCATTTCACCAGAATACTTTATTTACTGTACAGGACACAGATATCCATGTCATTCAGTACAGTGTACTGTCTGCTGCTGCCAGGCTTGCTTGACTTGTTACGTGCCGTAATGCCCAGAGGCAAAGCCCAAGTTAAATTCAAATCTATTAAGAATTATGCTGTAGAAACCAGGAGCATACAGCCTCTGCGAAAACCTTTACAGAGCAAAACCCAAAAGTTCTTCAGAGATCTGAGGTAGTAATTTGACCTAAATCTCAGCTCCTTAATTTGATACATGGAATACACCACATTAATAAGGATGCTAGGCAACACCATTCCACATTTCACCTATTTAAGGTGAAAATAAAGATGCTAGGCAACGCCATTCCACATTTCACCTATTTACCTTGAAATTACACATCTACATTAGTTTTAAGTTACAGTTACAGCAATGAATCAAGATCGCCCCCCGCCACACACACACACACACGTACATTGGGTGAGCTGAGCACCACCGCTATCTGAACTATACTCCACTGAAACACTAACTTCCAGATTTTATGTCTCCTTAGAGATTCATTCCTCTGCATACTCACTGCATTATTTAGCAGGTAAGCTGTATCTTCCACATCCAACACCATCTTTAGGCAAAACAGGGAGATAAATCCAGCAAGTCAGAGGACAGTAGCTGGTTTCTACTTTGTCCAAGTAGGAAACTGGGTTATACAGACAAGCTGCTATCCTGCATAGGCTTATCACTCCCATAATGCTCAGCTAGAAAACCCAAAACAGACTAATTCATGAGGACGTCATTCTCAAATAGGATTTGAGTTAGGTTTGACCAGGAGAAGTACTTACTCAATAGAGCTCAGACAAAGATGAACTAAGTCTCTGCCACACAATGTACAAACTGCCAAATTTCAAAGCTGGGAATTAGTACAGTCTTTCCTGTTGCTGTTTCCATCAGGTTTTGATAAGTTTAGTTTCGTTTCAGGTTTTGTTATCTCAAATGCTAGAACACACCAAACTTATTCTAAATTAAATCAGAAGCAAGTTCTTTCCTAAAAGCCAGGACTAAAGTTTCCAGTGAGAACACAAAAGACTGAAAAATTAGTGTAAGTCAGAATGATTCTCCACAACAAGCAAAAACAAGGACTTTGAATATATTTGAAATCTAGTATTTTCCAAAGTAGATAAGCAACAGCCTAAAGTATTCCTACATCAGTCATACTAATGTCACTGTAAGTTTCATTTTTGCAGAAAATAGGGTCTTGTAGGTATATTCATTATACAATGCTCCAGAAGAGATTTGCAGTAGCAATAGATAGCAATTAATAATAACAGCAATTAATATTTTCCACATTCTACCTTCCTTCAGTATTTAAATAATTTTCAATGCAAAGCATAAAAATTGATAGTTCGGCAACCTTAACACCAGTAAGGACAGCAAGCGATATTGTTTAACACACCTCCTGCTGAGTGTGGAATAGAGAAATTATCTTCTTCTAAGTTAGACACTAATAGGCATTTCCTATCATCAGATTTTTATTGCTAGATCCTTCCAGCAACCGCACTTAAAACCTAGAATGTGTTTTCTTATGAGGGACCACCTTCTAAGTTTGGGGATCTTCTTCCTTTGTGCATGAAAGAAATAAACCTGTTCATGGTAGATAAAGCCAGACCCTTGAACCTGCACATCCCACTGACCTCCACAGCTAATTCTTTTGGCACTAGAAGCCTAAGTCTAGTTCAAACTCAGTGTCAACTAAAAATATTTCAGAGACGACAGGCAACCATACTCCTAATTACTGGCATAAATCACAGTCAGTTTAACAATTGGTTTAATTCATCATTATCTTCAAAATAAGATTCCCCTAATTCAAGAGGGTTGTGCTATTTTCCATTAGCACGAATTCTTAACAACGAATACCCAAAAGGTTCTCCTAAAAACCAGTCAATTCAAACCAGTTTCTTCAGTAACATCAAATCAACAACTTCACATCCCTATTGATCCTATTAAAGATCAAGAGATTTGTCTACGTGATGTAGAGATGGATGTTTTCAAAATGCAGAGCACTGAAAACAGATGGCAGCACATCCCAATCAACGTCAATGTTATAGTAAGAGGCTCTTCAACTGATTTGTATTAAAACACTATCTTGGAAAAAAATCCAAGGTACACTAATCCGATAGAAGGATAAAGACAAACACACCATCTGTTCACATCTCTCACTTTCACAGAGGTGCAGTCTTATCTTAGTGCCCTAAAAACAGACACAAAAATACTTTTGATACATGCAATTTAAGAGAGGCTATCTTCGTTTGAAGGAGCTAATCCATTCTAAAGCAGATTTTATTTTTGGGCCAAGTGACATTTTTTGACATTTTGTCATGAGGTTAGAGCCAATTTGTAAGTCCGTAACACATGAGAGCTCATTTGTTCCTTCCCCTCTCTACCTTGGCTAAGACAGACATAGATTGAGGAACATGTTTATGAATGGGTTGTTTTCTGAAGTATGGGATATGCAACCAAAACACTTTAGATATCTGAAAAGGAAAACCACACGCACACAGCACATTTTGCTAAAAACGCCGTGTTTTATATTTAAGTAAAATACTGCATTCCATCAAGATTATTTTAAAGCTTTCAAATATACTGAATCCTCAATTACCATTTCATGCTTTTATTTTAATTCATAATATTATGCCTGTTAAATACACCTCCCTTCTCTTGTCTCAGAACTGAGGGAAAAGCTTCAGAGCTTTTAAAGATTTAAATCACTTTTAAATTGCTAGGAGACAGTATATTTTAAGGTCATATTACTTAAGGAATTTAATATAGTAATACCTGCGTATGTTATTTTTCACTTCTTTTTTTCAGTATCTTGAATATCAAAAATATTTGAGCTTTTAATATGGTATGGCAATGTTGGTTTTCAAATCCCCTTTGCCCTGAAGTTATCTAGCATTTTTCCCCTAGCTTTTTCTACTATAAAATAGTTACTTCAATTGATCTTATGTTCTTCTAAAACCCCAATGCTCACCTTTCCAGCTATTTTTTCTTTTTTTTTTTTTGTTCAGACTTTTATTTTAAATTAGCAGTATTAAGAAAAATGTTCCCCGATTCAGGTTGTGAGTTGGGTACATTAGTAAATATGATGACTTTAGATGTAAGTGTAAGTGACTGCTAAGGTGGAAGCCAATAACAAAAACTTTTGTGCAGGAACTGAAGCAGATTATTGCGATAGTTCTGCCCAGGGATTCTTCCTAGTCCGATTAGCACTGGGTCATGCTGCTCTGCAAAAGCAGAAAACCACAACTACCCTCATCCCTTTCCTTTGGAGACCTAAAAGGATGAGGGAATTCGTGTAACACGTTGCAAAGCCCCAGACTGCATCCACTGATGCCAGTGGGAAACCCACCCCATCACACCATGAGGACCAGCCGATTTGTCTCCCGTTGCAAGGTGGCTCTTTCCTTCTCTTCTGCATGCAGGAGGAGGAGGAGGGAAAGAAGATATGGTCCTTGCATGCCAGTGGATATATGTGGCCATGAGCCACAAATTGCAAGGGACAAACTCATCTCTGCCACCTACAGCTGCAAAACAGCTTGGAAAGTTTTGCTTAGTTATTGAGAAAGCAGTCTCCTGATGGACTGCTCACTTCTGAAACACAAAGCTAAGAGAATCATACACAGTGATGAGGAGTCAGGTCTCCCTTGGCTCCAATGCTACCAAGCTAGAGAGTAGGCAAATACATCAAACTGGAAACACAATTAAAATGTGTTTGGCATTAAGCCAACATAAAGCAGCACAGGGCACGCTGCCCTGCACCAGTTTATCATTAATTGTGCTAAAACAGGTTTGGTCAGGAACACTCCCCTTCTCGGGAAGCAGGGGACCTTCACTTGAATTTTCAGGTAGGTGCCACAGACAGACATGTCTTGGCCATCCCCTAGTAACTCACGAAACCTTTCCTCCAGAGAATAACCACATACACATCTTGCAATGTGTGATTTCAGAAGGGCAATATTGCACTATACAGTGGCTTACTTCAAAAATGGAAAAGTATGTTTAACTCAAGCCTGTCTAAAACTGCATGTGAAATAAGAGTCTCTCTCTTTCCATATCTGAATAACTAAATACAATTTATTCTTGGAACCAACACACCTCCCAGGCAGTCACTATTTTCCACTAGTGGCAGAAACAGTTATTAACTGAACACTGCATAACTTGTCCTCAAAAGGACAGAGCAAGTTGCAAGTGATATGGTGGACACCCACATCCATACACAGGCACTAAGTAAGGAGCTCCATCCTGCCAAGCGCTTACCACCTCCTTCCCTGGCCAGGTCCATCCTCCTCCCAAGCGTGGCTCATGGGACAGGTTGCTTGCTAAGAGCACACATGAGTTTCAGTGTCAGTCCTGAGTGACCTGGGTCCTCCAGGGCCACATATGAACTTCTCTGATGAGCTAAGTAATCAAGACTCTCTTAACAGCTCTAAACCACCTTTTTCATAAATCAACCACAGAAGAACTTAAAGACACATAGGTAGGGTACTTGTGGTTTTAAGGACCAAAGTTAAGCCTCCTTTGCAGTGGCATTCCTTAACATAATTGATTGAGACTGTTCTTCCACATTTTTCCTTCCTGAACTAGAACCACCAAAGATTAAACTCAAAGAAACATCATTTAAAAAGCAAGAGCTGGCAGAACAGGGCTAAATGACAAGAACCACTGGTCTGGATTAGCGACAGTTAATCCAAAACATGGGAAAAAAAAACAAAAAGGCTTAGAGAATTTGATCTTGCAAGTTAAAAAAAAAATCTATATATACACACATGGTTTACAAACCAAGCAAATTTATTCCAAGAATAGAAATAAAATATGGGTCACTTTTGGATTCTTAATCAAAATACTGCAGTATTCCTGTTAGCAGACTTAATCTGGGATTCAGATTTATTTAGAACAAGTGATCAATCTGGACCCAAACAGAAAGCTTCTCCCATGCTGTGCAGTCCTGCAGGAAGCCACATGGTGACAACTTTAACTTACATTTATCAAGACTTCAGGCAGTGGATTTCCTCATTAGAAAGGATAAGGGGGAAGATGTATGATTAATGTAAACTACAGTTTTACTATAAAAGTAAGAGCCATTGAAAGATGATAAAGATGTTTGAGATAACTGTCTCCATTTCCAGGGAAAAGACTGCTGAGTTTGTGCTGGATTTTTAACCAATCTGCACAGCATTGAATAAAAATATAGACAGGTGCAAATAAAGTGCAACATGCCACCATGTACAGAAGGGTTTTTTCTTCCAAGGACCTCTGCCTGCACATTCAGGATACTAGAACAATTTAATAGCTTTCCTTATTCCTGCACAATCTACCTCCCTCCCTACGCACCCTTGATAAAAATAAGACACCTGGCGAGCCTCTTCCCAACACATACTCCTTCCTATCCTCAGCAATGGAGGATCACCACTCGCTCTTTTTGTCAAGGAAGGTACAAGCTCACTGGTTTCCCTCCCAGTTCAACCCAGCCTCACTCCAACAGCAGTGCATTTCCTTAGTCTCAGCTTAAGAACCAGCGAGGACAAACTTCTCAGTCAGAAGCCCATATGGCAATAAAATAATACACAAGAGGAGCTAGGAGAGTTAAAGTCACCTCCAAAGTCACCTCTCAAAAGCATGACACATGGGCAAAGTGGAAAGTTACCATTTGACCTAGTGGTGCGCTTTATGAACTCTTATGTTCTGGCTATAAATACAGATATGGAAACTACCATCACTCTTGTTAGGGGCAAAATTGATAGCTTAGCGCCTTCCACCACTCCACAGATTTCACGAATCTTTTGGAAACTTTCAATGGCATAACGGGATACATCGAGAGGGACACTTCCTCTGAGGAAATGCACGCACACCACTAATGAAAGCAAATTAATTGGGGGAAGTGTGTGTCCATGTGGGAGGCGAATATTTTGCTTTCACTGCCACTGCTGAGGAACCTCATTCTCTTAGCAAGAATAGAGCTGCTTGCAACCCAGCCACCTCTTTTGGATGAAACTTTCTCAGCTTCAGTCCGAAAAGACCTCCTGCAGTCCCCTTCACATCACTACATTAGAGCCCCATTCAGACCCCTCTCCCACAGTAACAGTATTTCTGGTGAGCAGTCAGTCATTTCTGATCACATTTTGCTGTTTTCTCAAATGTAAACTCAGTTTCCCCTTTTACCAAAAAAAAAAGGTAAGAATAGCTTTACTTGCCTGAACATCAAAGTCTGGAAGGAGGCGAGTGATAGCCTGTGAAGAGATTTTAAAGCATTAATGCAGGTAACTTTGGCAGCTACAGAAATCTGCACTGGGACACATGTTCTAGCCCACCAGTTCTGCAGCCAAGAGCTGTCCTGTCCCTTCATTCAATGAAAGCTCTCTTGCTGAACATCAAAATTCACCCAAGAGCTTTTACCCACTAATCTTCACGGAGAACATGAAAGCAGTAAAATACCAGATTAGAGACCAGCAAAATAAAGCACGAAAACTTGTGCATTTTGAGTAATTGTTAAATCACTGGACAAGTTGGAGCAGTAAAACACTGAACTTTTCTTCACTGCTTATTTTAGCCGTGGGACAGCCAACAGCCCACCTCAGTCCTGCCTAGGATGGAAAGCTGTTCTTCGAGCACAAACTGAGCACTTACAACTCAGTTAATCGGTCATTACTGTGATTTCGTTACATGATCTGGAAGGTGGGAAGGGTTTTATCCTAGCCAAAATTAGGCCTTGTTATGTTTGGGAGGATGGCTGGACACAGAAAGGTTTGTTCCAACCTGTGACCAGCCATCGTGATCACTCACAAGCTCCTACACCTGTCAAGGATCTCCACCAGAAAAGGAGTAAGGTGACATCCTCCCCACCTCCAATAGTCTAAGAGGCTTATAACTTCAAAGGAAGAATTGTCTTACAGTCACCTCCTTTTAATAAAAAGATAAAGAAGTCAAACTTGTATTTACACTGGAGGGCTGAAAACAGAGGGAAGAGCAGCCAAGCCAAAACTTTCTGCATGTCAGAATACAATAGAGAAGCCAAATCTTGAAAAAAAGTATTGAAATAAAAAGCAAAGCTTAGGATCCTGGCAAGGAGGTCACTCAGTCCCAGAAGTCCAGGTAAATTAAGGACAGAAGATGTCAGAAGCAATACAGCTGCTGTCTTAGGCAATATCATCTCAGATGGTGGACCTCAAAGCATTGCAGTCCAACTTGTGATTATGACAGGACTCTAGAGCCGTGATCTTTAGGCAATTAGGCAGTGTCTTGTACATACAAACAAGTAGCTAAGGACCTGACTGAGCTTGTGGAAGTCATTTTACACAGCCTTAGCTTTAGAAAATATGCTGGGTTTTAATCTGACAATACTGTTGGTCTCACCACCTCTTAAACATAGCTAATTTCATACACTTGCTCCAGTGGGATCTAGAGTTGAAAGGAATAAGTATATGTGGCATCTGTACAGACAGTATACGAAATAAAGCTGTTCAGGAACAGAAGACTCAGCTGCAGAAGAAACTTAAGCACAACAAGCCAGGATGCAACTTCCAAGTGCATCAGCCACTCAGCACATAATGAGGTTAACAGTGGAGCTAGTGTTGTGTCCTTCAGGGCAATCTTTTCCACTTTCTCAAAATACATTAAGTAACTTCCTTCATCTAATGTTAAGAATGGCCACAGAAAAATCAAACTCTGTGTTAGTTTCCCCACGTAGACAAAACTTAAGGTAACATCGTGAATAAAAGCATATAGGGTTCATTGTCAAGATTCCAACTTTTGATCTACGTGCTACAGAAACCCAGGAAGTTAATCAGTGTTTTAAGATATTTCTGAACTTTGAAGCAAAGGCATTTCAGTGCTCATAGGACTTCTGCTTAGTATCTCCTTTGCTTTGCTATTACTGAACAATATTGGCATTAAAAAGGGATCGTAGCTTCTGAAAAGTTTGAGTGCTGCATTCACTGGTATCCAAACAAGCTCTGCTTTCATGCAATGTCCTTGGCAAAGGAGCTGTGTTTAAAGTTTCTCTAGCCATTTCACTGCAGTCACAAGTGGAAATGATTTTCTGAAGTGTTTACACAAAAGAGGTAGGGAATAAAAAAGAAAGTAGCAGATAGAGCAATGAATCGTTCTAGTGTAGAAAACCAGGAAAAAACCCAACACATTTATATACGTCATTGTCAAGAATAACAATCATTGGGAACAGAAGAAAAATCTTAGTTTTGATTCAATAAAAAAGCTGAGAGGTTCTTTCACATATTACAGTGAACTATTTGCCATGAACATACCAAAGCACAGAGTATTGCTACCACCAAAGAGTCAGA